CCCCCCTCCCCCTCTCCCCCTCGGCCCCGCGCGCGTTCCTCCTTCTGAAACAACTACATATTATACCCAAACGTGCGTGTACATGTTATGCGCGCAGGCAATCCGCTTCGTTCCTCTTCACCCCCCGGGATGATTCTCACACCACACTACCGCGTCCCCCGAAATTTCCGCCGCAGCAATACACGCGATCCTAGTAATAATATCAATCAGGTTTACTGATATCCAGAGAGGGGACAATATCTGTCTCGCTGTGCATATTACATTACACATGTGTAAATTAATCAAATGGCAATTTTAACGACACAAACCTTGCCAGCGGGCCTCTCTCCCCCTTCCTCTTCCCCTTAAAACCCGACTGTCAAACTACCGACTGAACAGGTCGACCCGACTGCCGCTTCATTATGATTGGTCCACTGAGAATCAGCGGTCAGGTACGGGTTTTAGATTGATTTCTTTATTTCTGAAGAGAATGACCATCACTCGTTAATATCCAATCCCTCGGTTGCAATCTCCATAACCAATCAACCGGGCAGGTGTGATAATCTTTCTTCGCGATGCATCAAAGATTATTTCGGCTTTGAGTCGCGTCGACTCGGGGAACTTTGCGAATCCTCGAATCGTTGCCGAAGTTCCCGGCGCGAGAGTTGGCTGGAAAGAGCAAGAGAGAGAGAGAGAGGGGGGAAGGGGGAAAGACCGGCCTGCGATGATCGATCGCGATAATTCATTTATGTGTGTGCTCCGGAGGTTTAGCCGCGGCGCGCAAGCAATCAATCCGTCTTCCCGACGAGTTTACGTCTCTCTGCGAGTGTCTCCGTGAGCTTTGCATTAAATTTTCAGCGGGAATTGTCTTGATCTTCGATTCCCGGCCGCGGAAAACTTCTCCCGGCGAACGCTGGCTGGCGGCCGATGTCGGGTTGATTCCGGCCTCGAATTCCACTTCGATCTCGTGCGACGCCGCGATTCCCATGAGATGCCGCCTTGGCGGCGGGCTCTCCGATCGAATCACGCGAAAAATCGCGTGATACGCGCGAGTCCCATCTCGAAAGGGTCCGAGATACCGTAATGCACACGGCGTTTCAGCTCTGCGCGCGAACGGAACACCTCCCTTCGCACGCCGGTCCGCACCTCACACACATACATTTGTCATTTCATTAACGTTAAAAACTCTACGGCGCGCTCTCACGGCGTAAAACTGCCACGTTTGGCCGCCACGGGAAAGCACAAACTTGCAAATAGCGCGAACAAAAGCCGCGGATATTAATTTCGGAGCGCGCGCGCCCGCACGTTAGCAGCGGCGCAACGCACAACGATACGTATTTTTCTTCAGTTTTTACAAGTTGTTAGCCGTTTTTCCCGGCTAACGTGTAACGCTCCGGTGGGTGTAAGTGATTTTTATTGCGGATAACGTTTCACCCGTTTTCGCGCTACTCACAACGCCCGTGTCTCAGAGTGTCGCATGTGTGCGCAATGAGTAACGCGAGTCTACGTGACACAAGCATACGCGATAATACGATCAACATCTTTGATGACAATTTTCTCACACGTCCAATCCTGCACGTACTTATTATTTTGGTTTTCAGATATGAATAATTAAACTCCCGAAACACAACATACAGAATACACAGTTAGGAATCTTGCGCACAAATGTTAAAATCTTCATGCGTTAGCCATTTTTGACTGTTACTTCAATGTAAAATTAATATTTCACCGAAATGTTATTTTCGTGATGTTTTAATGTGTTATATGTTTAATATATCAATTCTTAATAACTTAATATTTTTTATGTGCAATATTGAAGTGCATTTTATGTGCACTTTGAAGTGCAATATCGTTTTAAATTCTTTTAAAATATATATTAAAAAACGACTTTTCTTAAAGCCACATTAATGTTAACAAGAAAAGCGAGTCTTTGAATCATGGTAGATTTTAACATATAGCATAATCAAGTTTATTAAAGAAAAATGTTTCTGTCAAAATAACAAACTTGAAGGAAAGAAAAAATCTGTGAGTGTTAATTAATTAACATTCGTAATTCATCGATAACTAACACACCACGAATGAGCTATTCTTGCAAACAAATTACGCTCTCTGACTTTACTCAGATAAATACAAAACCGGCCAGGTTATTTATCGACCACTATCAGTCTTTAAATATGAATGTTGAAATTTTCAACGTATAAAATATGTACACATGTATTCTACATGTTGAGAGTTTAAATATCTGTATCCGAAAACTAAAGTGATAAGAATGTCCAGGATTAGAGAGGTACGTGTCTGGGAGAACTGGTACTCTTACCTTTTAGACGATTTCGTCTAACTAGACGAATACATTCGCGACTGCATTCTCCAAAGACGGCATTAATCGAATTGCAGTCGGAACCGACAATGTTCAACTTGCTTGCACGCATGCATGCGCTCACGAAGTGATGCTGTGTAATGAATTTCGGTTATATTTGCGCACAGAGAGAGAGAGAGAGAGAGCGGATCGCGCGCTCTTCACGGCGATTGCGAAATCAGCCGACTTTGTGGCATTTGAAATACGATTTATTTGTTCGTCATCCGTGCACACGCGGGGCTCCCAAATCCAATAATGATTTGAATACCGCGGCCCGGCCGCTGTACGGTTTCGCGTTATTTCGGTCGCGCGGTATCGCCCGCGCCCGTAATTTTATAAACACTTTGAAAATCTTGCGTCACCGGCGGGCTTCGCGCGCCGAGATTGCTTGCCACTCCTACGGCTTCGTCTGCCTCGCGGCAAAATAATTACAAAATCGTAGAACGAAACGCGGTAAATCGACGGAGCGCCGCCCCCTTCTCGTTCTCTGCCGCGGGCCTGTATTTTTTCAGCTTCAGGAAGCCATCCGTGTTCGAGGAGTCTGTCCCGCTATGGTCTTCCGAGGGTCTATACAAATTCGAACCGACCGCTCTGTCTCCGTCTTTTACTCTCTCTCTCTTTCTCTCTTTCTGTCTCTCCCGCCATTTCTCCCTTTCTCTGTCTCAAGTGTTTGTTTCTGCTTCCTACCACTTCGAATTCGGATTACCGCTGTGAATAGCGTAACTATTCCTGTCGAGATAAACGACAGAGAATTCCGTCGGAGCGCGAAAAAATAGAGATCCTGTAATAAGAGATCGGGCACCATATGTCAACGTTTTGATTGACTGCGCCATGTTTGGGACACGCTTCCGATTAGGATCATTAGCTGAATGACAACACAAGCATTGGTCTGTTCTTTTCAACTGCACTGGCTGCACTGGCTGCACTGCTGAACCGGTGCAATAAGTTAAAGTGAGATAAGTATACTTTCGGTTTGAACCAAAACATGGCGAATCTAGTATCTACAGGCGACGGTGTCCGATCTCTTATTAAAGGATCTCGAAAAAACAAACAACCGCGCCTTCGTAACCCGCGGAATCGTCCTACGCACGCGTTGTCGCGAATTCATAATTGCAATATACCGTGAACTGTTATTTGCGCGTATCAAACGCGCCAAGTTAACGTGGATGTGTGTAATCTGTACACTTGTAAGAAAGTTACACTTGTAAGAAACTCTGTTCTTCTTAGCTGAACTGTCTGAACTGGCGCACACCGGCACGCAATGAGTTAGAGTGAGACAAGCATATTTTGTTTTGCACCAGTTCAGCTGAGAAGAACAGACCTTCTTGTCAACACTCCGGCAGCGAATAACGAAACGTAGCCTCAGAGTAGATGTTCATTTGGACGCGTTAAGGAGCAAAATTCGCACGCGTTCGCACAGAGGGTTAGGTGAAAGTTGTCAACGTGAAAATGCGTTGCCCCACACGTCATCGTTAATCATTCACGATCTTTTTTGTACCGTTCACGTGTATGCAGTACACGTCATTTCTGATCATTAATTAAGAGACCAGTGCATAACCGGCTCAAGGGGACTGTCAAGACGAGCAATGAAATTATAAGTCTCTCTCTTCTCTCTCCTTCTCTTACTCTAACGACTTTCGAAATACTTCCTACTCGCGCAATGCTACACAGCCGCCATGTAAATCGCCCCGTGAGATCGTCCTAATCGACAAACCTCATAGTCTTCCGCGAGCATGGCGGAAACGGAAGCCGAGGAGGAGACGGGGACGAGCGAATTTATGGAGGACGTCACGGCGGACGCGACGACCGACGACGCCACGGTCAAGTATGAGAGTGCCGGAGACGTCGTGTCCGGTGATGGCGCGGAAAGAGATGCGAGGCGAGATGAGGTCGGGAGAACGCGAAGGAAGAAGAAGAGGTTCCGGACGGAGAGACACGTCCGCGAGGGAGAGTCGCTTTGGCGCATCTACATGAAATCGTAAGGGAGACGAAAGCGCCTCTTTCTTTCTCTGACGATCCCACGACGCTCGTCTTGCGCGACAGTCGGTGAAAATTGGCATGGGGAAAAACTCGCCTACACGGAAAAAAAGATTTGTTAATATATAGACAACTAAAGATATTAGCTGCAGGAACAAATTTTAATAACTTTGCTATGAAAGCAAGAAAATTTGCTCTTGCAGCTAATATTTTTGGTTGTCTATATATTAGCAAATCTTTCTTTTCTGTGTAGATACGCGGAATTACGGGACAAGTCGGAGCGAGAGGACGTCCCCGAGAAGTGGAAGACGCCGGCCGATGTGCCGAGGCTGCCTCGCGTGGAAATCGCGGACGGGACATTTCCTCCGCGCGAGTGTTTTCCGCTCGGCGGCTTTCGACTCGGGCGTCGAGTCGCTGGGACAGCCGTCGGGCTAGATCGATGCAGGAGAACGCCGATCTGGAGGAGTATGAGATCAAGACAGTCGGTTAGTCAGACGACGAAATAACGACAGGATGACGTCCCGTTCGCGAATTATTCGCGACTTCATCGCGATCAATCGGATGATTCCGTCTTTGTTGCGTCTTTGCAAGCGCAATAAGGGCTTTAATTAAACTCTCTGAATTTCTTCTAATGAAAAATAGAGCGACAGTCGAGTCAGTGGAATTATTTCTCACTTCTGCAGAGTGAATTCTCCACTATGAATTGCCGAGTGAATATTTCACTAAAAATTTGGGAGTGTATCCGGTGTATTTTGTATTTGATCAAATGCACTTTGATCGACTAAAACACTCATTTGTACAAATCAGAAATTAGCTGAGTGTTCTTATGTTATAGTCTCAAGAAGATTTTTCTAAAATCAAAATATTTCAATATTCAAAAGAAAGACGCAATCTTTTATTTTAATTTATGTAAAAGAAAGATGCAATCTTGCAAGACGCTATCTTTTGTAATTTCATATTCTAAGCGCAAATTCTTGTCAAATTAAAGAGTATTTTTCTTCTAGTATACTGAGAAAAAATTTTTGGTATTTGTAACTATAATCATATAAAGAATTATTATAAATTATGATTGACAGAAAACTATTTCTTTATTAAATTTTTCTATAATGTTATTGACAATAACTTTATATATGTTACTACTTCCACTTTGTGTTAGAACAATTAAAAAACATGGTCGGGGCCAAAAATATCTATAACTTTAGTTAGAGATTTCCTAGTTTAGCTAGATTATTTAGTTACATTTTTTGTTCTCTCTCATTGTGAGGAGGAACGATAGTATACTTAGGGTATTTTTATTTTGGTTTTAGAACAATCCTTCTGAAGGCATGTATGAAAAGATTTCGCTAATGATGAGATTACATTTGTTTGGATGTTAGAATTAAATATTCACTCTTGTAATCTTGAACGGCATTCGCTTTGAATGAATTTTCGCTTGAGTGGGATTTCACTATAAGCAACTTGAAGAACACAACATTTTCCCAAATCATTACGTCGATTAGATTGTGTCTTACTTATCTCTGTTTACTTGATCACAACACTCGTAAGTGGATTTACGATCTCCCGGCTAGGCAAGTCTATTCCGGAAAAGGGGAGGAAGGCTATCGTCGAGAACCGGAAGTGGAGAATGGTCCGATGTTTGGCCATGCACTACGCGAGATTTGCTGGGCGAGTTGCGGAAGAAGGAAGGGAGGAGAAAGCGAAGGGACACGTTCCCTTGCGAACAGCGGCTTGACGAGGAGGACGAGCTTCTCCTACGCCAACATAGGAGCGACCTTGCTAATCGCAAGGAGCTTGGCCACGTTCGAGCGCCGGTCCCTTGCCCGGTGCTGAAGTCGAATCTCATGGTGGATCGCGCAGCCGGCGAACGCCCCGGTCTTGTGGACGGCGATTACGTTCTCGTGGAGTTGGCGGCAGGGGATCCGCAAGGTAAACGCGTATACGCCAACGTGATCCTTCACGGCTTGAAAGGCATGCACCTGCCGGAACTGAGCCCGTTGCGAGAACGCAGGAACACTTGGAAGTTCTGCCTCTATCAAGCGCTCGTGGCTCTCTTGGCGAAAACTCAGCTTAGGTATCGAGATGCATTCCGAGAAGTGTCGAAGTAGAACAGAAGCAGTGTTTCAATTTCGAAAAATTTTACATTAATTTGAAAAAATTAATTCCACTAAAATTCGGTCCACTTGAATCAAAAGCTTTCTCCGTTATTTGAACGTTCAACTTAAAAATTCAGCTTAAAAATTCAACTTGAGAATTCAACCTAAAAATTTGTCAAGGACAGAGCTGGCGCGTGTAAAACACTGAGGAAATTTTGACATTATCGTTGTGTCGCGTTTTTGCGTACAAGATACAGGTACGCGTGGGGCGCCAATATCGACTACATCTACGACCACGCCTGGACACTTTACACCCACGTTGGCGCGATCAACGTGAGAAAGAAGCAACGCTTCGACGACGTCGTCGTATACAATTACAAGTATAGCGTGGAGCTTGAACTGATTCGGGAGATGAAGGATGTGCCGGTGGCGCGAGGGGTTGGTTGGAAGTACGTGGGAAGCGGTTTCAAGAGGCAGATCACGCTGCCGAGGAAAGACCCGCTGAAGGTCAGGGTGGAACTCGGCTGCCGAAAGATCACAGACTCGACGTGGATGCCGGTGCACGAGGAGACGCGAGAAGTCGAGCAGTGGTTCGACAAACTGCCCGCGCGATATCGCAACTGCATCCTTCGTACGACTAGATTCTCTTTGGCCTTCTGGCAAGACGGTCTCTTCTGGTACCTGTACAATCCCTTCCGCTGTGACGAATTCGGCCTGTGGGACGACGAAGGTCGCGCCTGTATCGTCAAGTTTTGCTCCAAAGACTCTTTACGTAGGCATTTGATGATCCTCATACTGAGAGCCTACGCATACGAGGCCCCGCGGTCGACAGATCAATCCGAGAGAGACACCTTCGACATTCAGATCTTCCACGTGGTCTTCCACTGCTGCCAGCTGCACAACTTGAAGCTGCTGCAGCGCGGCGCGCCCAGACCGCTGCGGCGTGTCGACGAGTGTCCGTCGGATCCTCTCGACGTCCTCAGCGACGTAGAGGACGTGACGGATCGAGAAGAGGTGGACGAGGTTTCCAAGGTGGCGAGGGAGAAAGTCGCGTGGCTGAAGCGCTTCCGAGTGACTTGGAGCAAGTGCTCGGCCAGCAACCGGAAATGCAGATCGGTCAAAGTCGCGGAGAGCGACGGCGGGAAAAAGAGGTGGCACCACTACTACGTGGAGGAGTTCAATAGGCTCTTCTCACTGTGGGGCGAGATACACGCGAGCGACTGCATGTTCGACGAGGCGAGCCGGGGCATGCAGACGTACGCCTGTTACGTGGTGTGCGCCGGCATGACGAGGATCATGGCGCCCGAGTACTGGAGCCCGAAGATCCTCGACGTAGTGGTCATGTGCGGGGACCGTTATTACATGCAGAGCAAGCTCGAGGCCGAGCGCAAGGCCAGTACTAGGGAATACGCGCACGTGGGCTGCTGGAGCAGGTACCTGAGCGACCACTTCGAGATCGGCGGGATCGTGTTCGAGGCCCGGATGTTGCCGTCCGTCCACGGCAGACTTTACGCTAAATCGGGCGAGTGTCTGTGGCGATCACTGGAACGCCTGTTCGCCGGGTATCTGTTTGGCGTCCTGACCTGCGAGAGCGCCTGCCTGGGCCTCTTCAGGTTCTGCGGCGCGTACTATATGTGCGACGTGAACTCCTTCGGCCCGCCGCTCTTCCAGCACGGCCGCGGCGCGGCGTACTTGATGAGAGCCACGTCGTTCCGTAGATTCGTGACGGTGCTGGTGGCGACCGTCGGCTCGCCCGACCGCAGCCGCTTCACCCTGAACCCAATCGAGATCCTCAAGGTCGTCGAAGTGGACGCCGCGTTTGGTGGTCGCGCCAAGACCAGGAGCAAACGTCCGCGCAAACGCTCCGGTCTATATTTGCCTGTCTAAGGTGCGTATTAACGGTTGTCGCTTGAAACTCGCGGAGACATTCAGATTTTTATTCCGAGTCAGATCCAAGTCTTCCAGTTGTATTGCGATATACATTGTGACATTTGTATCTGTGATCGCGACTCAACAGCTCTCATCTGACTCTGAATTGAAATCTGAGTAGCTCACCTGAGACTCGTCTCAAGTGATGACTATTAATACGAGCCTGAGAGGTTAACATCCTCGCGTCTTTAATACAATCGCGTGGTGAGAACGATACTCCCTCTGTGCCTTTTATCCTCCGAATTGACTCTTCGTTAACGTAGAATCGTTAATTTGTGCGTCAGGGAAGAGCGCGCTGTCGACAAGAGGAAGAACAGAGAGATGCAGAGAGAAGAGGAGGGAAACGATTGCATGTATAAACAATCGACGTCGCGCGCGACAACTGCAATAATCGCGAGGAACATGCTCAAAATTCAACGACGAAATTCAGCGGGAAAAGGTCTCTTGCGCGCCTGGCTATAATTCTAAATAAAATTTATATCGCCGGACACACAGACACTTGCGCGTGCATGTGCGCGTACGTGTGTATAAGCAACTGTTTCTTGTTACAACTGACTCTGTGAATTCCCCCAGTCGTACACCCGCGGCGGGCCGGCGCAGTTCGCCAACGTGACCATTTTGAAATTCCTAAACGATCGACGGAGCTTTAATATTTATGCGCGGAGGAATCGGAGCCGCGTGTAAACGTTTATATAAACGAGAATGTATTTTCCACAACAGCGAAGCGATTTCAATAAGAAAATATTGTTGCAAAACCGAGTTGCGCGCCAGCAATAACAATAAGCGCGGCGACAGTAGTGTCACGGGATTTAAATTTCTCGCGATTTAAACGGACACTTGCCGTCACGCACGCCGCTCTCCCGTGACAATTTCGTGTTGACTGTCGATGGAAGTACTCGTAACGAGGAGAATCGATTGCGCTACATACAGCGGGGCGAGAGCGAAGTGGTTGACGGGAATCTGCCGTCAGATTCAAAATCGGGGACAATTTTTATAGACACATCTCGCTGCATACAAGTTTATCCGTTTTTCGATGTCGGTTCGATGTGATTTTATTGAATTGGAACGATTGAAACATAGGACAAATTTTAATCGAAGCATCGATCAAGTTTGTAGCGCGAAGGTGGAAGACGGACATCGTGATGATGCCGAATGAAAACTTCCGGAAGAGTCGGTCTACATCCGCCTGTCCAAGAAGCCAACTCGGGGCGCGATTCGTTAGACAAATACTTTGAAGCGCAGTAATTATGGCTTCTTTTTAAGCGTTTTGCAGCGTCTAATGGATTGTTCCCTGTAACTTCTATTCTTCGAAATTGATTCCTCGTTAACGTAGGATCGCTAACTCGAGTGAAATGAAAAAGGAGTAAAAAGGAGACCCATGATAACGCGTTCAACTGAAAAATTCAACTTGAAAGTCTGCGAAAAAGAGCTGGGATGTGTACATTCGGAGAAAAAGACACGGCAACTATACAGGTAGCAACTGCAAGAGTTTTGTGTACACATAGAATTAAAGTATATAGTTTGATAAACCATCCTGCAACGAGAACTGAATGGTCGTGAGAGCTACATATTTATGATACAGTTAGTTGTTGCAACAACTGCAGGATGGTTGATCAAACTATGTACATTAATTCTACATACAAAATCCCTGCAGCTGTCACCTGTATAGTCGCCATCAGCTTTCTCTGAGTGTACACACGGGATATTTCACGCGAATTAAAGTCGTCCCGAGACATCGCTTCGCTCGCTTTAGCAACGAAGTAAAATATATAAAATCTCTTCAGAGCAACGTCTCTTCGCGCGCAGGGAGGTCAAACGTCGTGCAGCCTCTCGTACTTCGATGCAATAATTTATTTCGGTATTGTACACATCCATCGTTACTCATATTTACAATAATATTTACAAGTGAATTACGTATATACATGCCCCGTGGTCGAGGAGAGCGCGAAAGCGTCGGGCCGCCCATCCCATCGTCCTCGAGCATCTGCTTCTCCTCCTCCTGCCCGTCGACTGTCGATGAAAGGACTCGCCCACTCATCTGGCCGCGACTACGCCACCTCGAGATCGGAACTGTCCGTGTCCTGCTCGAGCTTCTGCTGCTGCTGCCTGCTCAGGCTCAAACGGTCGTTCACCATCACAGTCGCCGCGGCGCCGCCGCCGCCGCCGCCGCCGCCGTCGTCGTTGCGTTGACGCTGCTCCAGTTGCAGCTTCCGCAGACGATCCTGCTCCTCGCGCTTCTGCTTCCGCCACTTGGCGCGGCGATTCTTGAACCACACCTGAAACAAGAAGAGCAATTCCATGCCGTGATAACTCGAGGACTCGAGTCGAGGACGAGAAGAGTTTCGTCGCGCAACGTTCTGAGACTGACTCGATCCTTTCGTCACTACGTCCCGCTTTGGTGGCTCTCTAAGGGTATATTCTCTGATATGATACGTCAAGCTGTCAAAGTGACGGATTAGCTGAATAATCAAGTCATAGTGTATATCTAAATACGATGCGAACGATAAGAAAGACTAATGAGCTCTGTCAAGACGTTATTGAAGCAGCAAAAGAAAAAATTCATCCCTTGAGAATTATTAAACAACACACACGCGAGTTCTCCTATTAGATGTGTTGGTGCAAAACTCATTGAAAAGAAGCAAATGTTGCAACCTTTCCTTCACTAATTATACAACAGCAGAATTCCGCGACCAGCTCAGCCGTAGCGGGAGGGTTGGGAGGGAAGAAAAAAGAGAACGATTAACGCCTAATTATCGTTTTCCGCGAATTAAAACGACCGCTTGGCCGGCAGCAATAATCGCTCGATGAACGCGAATAATTGCGAGACGCACACCGACGCGTGTGCCGCGGAAGTATTACCTAACGAAGTACGAAAGTACGTGGCAGAGATCAAACGGGTTTTTGCTGCGCCCGGGGTCACGCATCGGTCCTTCACGCTTGTCCGAATCAATCCGAATGAAAACCGACAATCAATATCCACCCCTGCTCGACGTTCGTTTTGCCGCATTAGCTATTGTAATAGCGTAACCCTCGTTCACTTTAAAGAGTTCTCTGGAGCGGCAACCGAGACCTCTGCGTGACGCAGCAAATTCTTTGCGTCGCGAAATTGAGTCCACCACCGTGTTGATTATGTTACATATGTAGAAAAAAGAGAAAGATAAACAGAGAGAGAGAGAGAGAGAGAGAGAGAGAGAAAGAGAGAGTATACTGAACGAGGGCAATTTAAACAACTTTTCTTTTTTTGTGTACATTAATTTGGTTTGCGTATTTTCCTAGTAAAAATGAAACCTCGTCATTGTCTAGCCACGAGAGAAATTTGGATCTAACGTTACTACTAACCAGCAATGTAACGCTCGTTTCTCCTATTGGCTAGATAAGTAAGTTAGCTGATTGAACAAACGATATTACAGTGTTATGAGATGAAAAATTACAACAAACACTTGGTTGTTAGCCAAATCATGTCACGCTCAATTTTGAGCTTTTATAAAATTAACGTCTTTTGAGATTTTATAAAATTAACGTAGCCTCCGTTTTGTGTGTGTGTTCTACCGAATTTTAAAATTACAATAAAATTATAATGTTATGAGATGAAAAATTACAACAAACACTTTGTTGTTAGCCTTTCCTTCAGGAAATAATGTGCATGTCACGCTCAAGTTTTTTGAGATTTTATAAAATTAACGTAGCCTCCGTTTTGTATATGTGAGTTTCTATCAAATTTTAAAATATTAATGGCGATACAGTAGCTAGGCTATGTGTTTTGGAATAGGCAGCGCCATCCATTACTCCATCATATTTGATATGCAATGGTTAAATCGTAAATTCGATTCTATATTTCAGCGAATAATCGGCCAAGACGGGTTAGCGACGAGCTAGAAAAGTTTATTCAGCTTGCATTAGCTAGCTATTAGCTCTTGACTCAGACTAACTAGTTGTATTTTTATCATTTTAATTGGCACGCTTGCGTTTCTGCGTCTACCGTGTGTAAGAGCCCAACTCGATATCTTCGTTAAGATTCACCTGCAAAGCAACTTTCTTCGTTGCAGAAAATATATTTTCGCTATAGATAATTTATTAACTCAGACATTTTGACCAGCGTTTGACTCTTACGGGCTTTTCTGATGAGTTTCTTTGAGGCCCGGTTTTTCAATGATAGTTTAAACTTAGATTTCAACTTAAACTCTGTTTAAACAAAACAAACGCATGGTTAGAATAGAGTTTAATCTTGAATCCAAGTTTAAATTGCTATTGAAAAACCGGCCCTGAGCAATTCATCGTCTCGATTCGCCCTCCACCAAAACGCGAAGGCACCGATGATAGTTCCCGAGTCGATAGTTCTCCGCGCGTCTATTTGTAGGATTTGTCGAGTTGAGTCGACACGATCGTGAGAGTCCCCGAAACAGCGTGCCTTCTCAGTTTTCCCGAGTCGTTTCTTTCTTTGTCCTCTTCCGTGCGACTGCCACATTTCCACTACTCGGTGTTTCCACCGAGAGTCGCTATTCCACTAATTCTGTGCAAACACCGTGACTCTCGCACCGGTCGAGGCGGCCTGGGTCTCTCCAGGTATGTGTTGTTCCAGTCTTTAAACACTCGAGACTGAGGGGGGACTCTCTTTGGCGGAACCGACGCGACGCGGGTGGTCCCACGCGAGTGTCAATGATTTTTAGAGTCCCGTGATTACTCGACGGAGTCGACGGCCGAGATTTCGTCGAACAAGGGGTTACTTCAACCTCGGGGGTTCCGAACTTTTATATGACACACTTCCTCTCGTCATTTCGTCATGAGCGCCTGATTCTTCCACGCTACGCGTTTTCGCGTATTTCAAGCGGACCAAGTTCGCCGAAATCGACATAATTTCGACGCGCATCTTGATCCTGCATTTTCCGGATGTTGCGTATATGCGGATTCAGCTACGGATGTTAGAAAGTTCAGGTCGCGAAAATAGGGCTAAAATTTCGACACGGACTTGCACATTGAAAATCGCGGAGCGACGCTCGCACCGGTGGCGGTTCGCCGGCCCGACAGAAACGGTAGATCGCCGATTACCGAAAGAGAAACAAAAAATTAACGCTCGATCGACGACACAATGAGGCCGCGGCATTAATTGGAGAGTAAATTCATACGAAATTAGATCGTGACGCGTAAAATGTGCTCCCGCCGGCCGCTCGAGTACACTTCAGATTATAAATTGCACGACCCGATATCCAACACGCGAATACGACTAGAGAGAGAGAGAGAGAGAGAGAGAGAGAGAGAGAGAGAGAGAGAGAGAG